GGCGTCACGTGGGGCGAGGCGGCAGGCCGCTGGCCATGCCACGGCGCTTACCTACAGTAAGGCAGCGTTTCTCAGCTGTGGTTCTTCTGACGCCATGAAAACAGAACTTTTAAAAGGAAAAGGTTGTTCTTTTAAAACGTTCTTAAAAGCAGCATCTCATCTTGTCCTCCTGGGAGGGTGCCTGGAGAGGAGTGTGCAGGCAGTGCAGAAGGCAGAGGTGACAGTGTCTGCGCAGGTGCCTTGGGCCAAGAAAGGTCCCGTGTAGTCCTGGCCCTCTACCTTCTTTTCCAAACATAAGCGCTAACAAAGAACAACGCTCCTGACAGGCACAGTTCATTTTCAGGAGCGATTCTGTCAGATACACCCTAAGAATACTTCTCCTACCTCTCTCTCCGCTGATGCCATCTCTTTCCAGTTGATTTTCCAAAGAAATACGTTTCCTAGCTGCCAGTCCCGCACACTGAGACTCAAGAGAGAAGCTGGTTCTGCTTTCCCAGCAGATCACAAATTGCCCTTGCCCACCCCGAGCGGCACGATGTCCTCCTGCAAGCACCGCTCCTCCAGGCAGACAGGTAAGGGAAAGGCTGCGTGCCAGGACAGCCGGCACGCATCGCTGCCGAGCGGCGACCGGCCCTGGAAAGAGGCGATTTTATGTCACCACAGGCAACAACAGCTCTGTTACGAAGCACGGGCTCGGACTTGTTCTTGCTCAGCAAATGTATCGTGCACAAATCCAACAGCCATCACAAAAATGAACGGCTGTTTCCTACATTGTTTTGCTCCTTACTCAGCACACCCTCCCCTCGCCCCCCCAGTATCCTAAGGCACTTACTCAGCGTTACCGTCTCCAGCTTGATCCAGGTGACTGAGCCGCTGCCGATGGTGCCAGTGACAACACCAAGCTCTGGGACACCCTACGCAATCTTTAAGAACTCCCTGGGAGAAGGGAGGGTGTGGTGAGGACCCCAGGGCAAAACACGGGGCCACATGGGGGGTTGGCTGAGCGGAGAGGAGGACCCTTGGACAGAAGAACTTGTCCTGCCCCTTGGTCAGCTCGTTCACGCTGCAGCAGGGGCTGAAACCAAACCCTGTGCTATTTAAAGCAGCAGATTTTAATGAGGGCTTTTTATTACCTGTGCTGAGCAGTTTTACTGGCTTCGACATGACCAAAATTTTACCAAAACCAAAACTGGTAGAAAAAAAAAACCTGCAAGTCCAAGTAGCGTCTCTGCCGTGTCACTGAGCAAGTCCTTGGTGGCACATTCCCCAGCTCTCGCCCCTCTGAGACCCAAGCTGGTGAAGGCCAGGTGACCCTGACCAGCAGTGCTGTAAGGGATGAGCTTGGAGGGGTGGCTGCGAGGGCGCTCAGTCGTCATCGGAGAAGGTTAAGTCCTCCACGACATCCTCTTCTCCTTGGGCCAGCTGCTCGAGGTCAGAGCGTGACATCCCACGAGTGCTGCTCCTCTGCGTCTGCGAGCCCCGGCGAACCTGAGTGGCTTCCTCGCCCTCCTCTGTGGGTGGAAAGAGAGAGAGGTGTAAATCCTGCTTTACTGGGAGTGAGGCGAGTCAAGGCAATTCACTGCTAATTAATCCCAGACACTCATTAATTTATTGGCGCCACTGCAGCTCCCAGATAGCGTCAGGAGAGCGCTGCAGGGTGCTCGGTACGGCGCTGGCTCCGGGGTACCCGAGGCGATGGCGAGCAGCCCGAAGGAACTGCTGTGCCCGAGGCAGAAACGCAAAATAGGAACTGGGGGGGCACGACGTGCCTCCAAGCCTTCAGCCCTCCCCGCTCTGGTCAGTCTTCCTCACCCGACACGTCAGGCTGGGCATGAAGAGCTGACCCAGGTAACCGCAAAACGCAGCCCCAAGCTCCCTCCTTTTTGAAACAGTATTTTAATAGCGGGGAGCACGATGCAGAACGGGTTTGTAGGGGCTGCGCAGGGCTGTCCACGTCCCCATTCCCAGCACCCTTCCCCCTCACTCCCCAAGCGTGGCCTGAGCTTCCTCCACCACACTTCCACCCCTGCAGACCATCGTAGGCTCCACCAGCCAAGCATCCGCTCAGCACCCATCCCTGCCGCCGGACGCACACCAGCGGGAC